GTATAGAAACCTATGCCCTCAGGGAGCGGACGTGGGGCGCCCTGGTGCTAGGCGGGTCTCAGGACATCCGAACGTCAATGCTGAGCGAGGACAGAGTGCAAGACACAGAAATATATAACCCAAAGGAAAGAGAGGGACCGGAAGGACAGCAGACCGGAAACTAGGGACAGGACAGAGAAGGAGCGCCCTCTGGCTGCAGAGGGCGTGACAAACACTTTGTGTCCAGACAAGCCTCTTGCTTCCAATCTTAAATGCATTTACCTGCAGTTTCCTCTCGTGTTCTCGGGCTTATGTCTCCCTGCTGGACATCCTCAAGATGTCCAAATATGCTTTTGAATACACTTCTAATATTTTGGAATCTCTTTTCAACTTGAACAGTAGGACATTCTCTTCAGCCTGGTAATGTGTTTTGCTTACTGTTTTCTGCTCTCAATCCGGCCAGTTGTATCTTTTTTTAACATTGAAAATCATATGCAACCAGTGAGGCAAGATTTAACTAGGTTTTAAATTCTTACACTCCTAAACATATATCCTGACATACTGTTTGTCTTTTTACTGCTTCCCCACATTGTCTAGGAAAGGAAAATCACTCAGCATGAACACCCTTTTCTTTTTCATAGATAGTTTCTTCAAATTCAGTTTCCCATCCTCTACTCATAGTTTTAGGTTTGTAATCTGGACCTGCAATGGGGTTGATTGGGTACCGTCTTTGGCTGAGAAACATTACTAATTTACAAAAGCTCCAGCAAAATACAATTTGCATTAGATCTCACTCTTGTTGACTTCAATCAGCTCATTACTGGCTTTATGAAACCGGTTTAAATGTTTTACCCAGCTCTTCGCTTGGTTCTGCTCTGAAGACACCAAGCAAACCCATAGACCAGGAATCTCTAGAAAAGTCGGAAATTGCTAGTCCAGCAGCTTGTGTAGGTCATTGCTTTCTAAAGAATCTGCAACTCACAACCGGCAGCCCCCTGAAGCTCAGCAGGTGTGAGCCTGGTCAGTACCTGGATGGGAG